TAGGAATTTCTGTGGTATTTCACTCTTTCGAAGAGTATTCGCTAGGTGTTATTTGATACAGGAAAAACATTTCTGTTTAGAGTCTAGCATCACAGATGTGCATCTCTTTACAACTAAAATTACATGTTCTCTATTTATCAATCACTTTTCGAAGACCTTTTGTAAATATTAAGTTTGAAATACTGTGACGTTCTGAGTAAGAATCTTTGCTAATATGTACTTAAACTTGAGACTTGACAGATTTGAGATGCAACTAATAATCAAAATATTTCTCTATGAACATATTGTAATTTTTATATAGGGTATTTTATTTTATTTCCCTAAACAAATATTTCGAAAAATATGGAAGTACGAAAAAACATTTTGTACAAAAGTTTTATGAGTTCGAGGGAAATATAAGTTATTACCTTAACCTATCCTTCGTATTTTCGTATATTTTTCAAAATATTTGCCTGGGGAAATTAAAATAAAACCTTATATATTTGAATTCAAAGAATTTTCAGTACATATTCAAAATAAAAATTTAAGTGTGCATATTTAGAGTAATATAAATAATAAAAATGTTATGTACATATAAAACATACTAATTAATGGGAAGAAATTATGCTCGATAACTAAAGATTGCCATGAAATAATTAAATACTGTAAAAAAGGAGGTAAAAGTAATATTAAAGAAAACGAAAATAAAAGAATATTAATAAAATACATTTTCAATTTACAAAGGATTATTAAATACTAAAAATATCAAATATTAAAAACGCAAAAATTTATATATATGAATTTACGATGCGTACAAAGAAGTAATAGCAAATAGAAAAATGTTTTAATATACCGAATATTTTCAAGTTTCGCATATAATCCGTTTTGGCAACATTTTCCATTAGGTAAATCAAATCGTGATAGTCGGTAGTCTCTCGCGCATCCGATCGGACAGGATGCGACGCATCGACATAGCACTTAGATTTATCGAAGAGCCGGTATAATTGAAAAAGGAGAGTAACAACGATGATTTAATACCTGTCGCTTTTTACCACGTACGACCGTTCATTGCCTCAAATCGACTCGAGGGAGCTTTTCGGGATCGATAGCTCTCTCTCACCGACTATCCCACGGTTGATTCGTCCGTTCCATTGTTTCCGAATCGGAAGAGTGTCACTCCGAGCGTAATAAAGAATTGTTAATCATGTCATATAAACAGTATACAATACTGGCTATATTAAGGATACAACTCTTTGTTGTACGGATTTGCTTTTCGTGCGATGATAATTAAGTTGTATTGAAACATGAACAAAGTACGAAAAAAACAATTAAACAAGTAGTCTAAACCAAATAGTACCAATACCAGTACTAATATCAAACCAAAAAGTACCGTTCGAATGTCTGTTGCATTTAGTTGCATTAAATTGAGTTTGTTTAATAATTTAGCGAAGTCGGACGTGAAATTTCAGAGAATGTTAGATGTTATAGATCTAGTAAGTCTGCTGTAACGAACGTAACGAAACGTGCAGGTGCAGTCCCTGTTATATTTCTAATCTCGTAACGCAACAGTCTGCCGCGTTTATTACTTAGAGATGTTCTTTTTTGCTCGACGCGCGTCCGCTCGCCTCGCCATCCAAATTCCTTTTTCCTCCCCTTCCAGACTGCTAGTGCCGATACAGCCCCGCAAGACAGGAAACTCCGGCACGAAGCCGCGCGAATTATCGCACCGACGATAAATGGCGGCGCGTCTTGCTTTTCTTCGAGCGCGCTCGCGCCAGTGTATCTCGTAAGTGATTTACATCGTTCTCCAATTTCGGGTCTTTGCAGTAAGTACACTTAGGGGCGTTATTCTATCTCTCTCTCACTCTCCCCTCCTCCCCCTCCCTCTCCCTCTCCCTTTCTCTCGCCCCATCTCTCCTGCCGCCCGGCATCGCCCTCTGTAACCCCCTGTTCCACGAGAACGCCGACGAAGCCGGGGTGTGATAAGGCCGTAGAGAGGGCGGAATAGCGTTGTGGGTGGAGAACGAGGACGGGGGATACTCGAGGGTTGTAGGGTGGCGGATCGCTTCTACCGCCGTTGGGTTTCTTGTAAGCCGGTAATCTTCGGTAAGTAACAAAACACGCGGCTGAGCTTAGGGCACGACGCTCTAGGAATTCTCCGAGAAACTCCATGTATATCGGCTCGTCGTAAAGCGTTAGTGCAGCATTTGATGCAATTCGCACACGCGAGATTGCGCGCTTTTCGTGTGTAATAGTTTCGCATGGCCTTTAAAGGTGCAGATTACGCTGCCGCCATTTTCAGTACTTCGTATTTATGTTGCCTTATCAGCGAATCTAAATTAAGAACACAGTTAAATAGCACTCCTTTAGATTTTTTTTTTCTTGTTAGCGTTAGTTCTTATACTTCCTTCCTTTGTAGCGTAGTACTTGACTACTTCGTTGCAAATTTGAATTTCCGGTCCCCATTTATTTTTATTGTTTTGTACGCATAATCGTTAATACGTTTTCACGGAATTTGTTACGGAATGTGTTACGAAATATTAAACGTAAGACAAGTAATTAAGTATTTGTACATCGGTTTTTTCCCGTGCACGTTTATTTAAATTTCCGTGAATGAATTGCATCTGGAATTATTTCGCGTTATATAACGAGTAATTAGCAATTAAATATCTTTACACGGCCGTCTTAAAAACGTAGCAGCTGTTATAACACAGACAGTTTATTTTGTTTTCTTTTTTTCGCCAAATGCGACAGAGCGAGGGCTGTACAGCGCTCGGAAATGGATACAACTAGAAGGAATAACTAGAAATAAGAGAAAGAGAGCGCGTAAAACAGCGGAATAATCCTCGGCTGTCGGTATTAAAACCGAATGCATTTATAACCTCCGTGTCGCTGCATCCTCTGATTATGCAAACGCAACGGTCGTTGATTTCCACTTTGACAACACACGTTGGACATACTCAAATCATATTTCAGTACGTTCGGGCCTGGAATTTCTCTCCGCTCTTCCTGCCTCTAGTTTATCTCTGCGCCTTTCAGCGACGATGGCAGAGGCGAGCGTATCACGCCGTGCGTAACGAGATTACGGTGCGCAGAAATTATTAATCTTCTTCATAAAGTGATTATTTTCTAACGAAAGATATATATTTCCCCTGTGTGCACTGCATTATGTTGGATATTACGTTATATTTGAATTTATTTAGAATACCGTGTCAAATAATGGACACGAAATCTTTCTATGCAACTCTTACACAAATTGAGAGGGGGACACATAATGCTACGAGTTAAGATATCGGAAAATTAATTATAGGATGAATAAATATACATATATATATACATATATATATATATATATATATATATATATATAGATTACCTTCTTTATTATTTATTATTAAATTTAATTATAATTTCGCTGTTCTTGACACATCATAATGTAGGTAATAATTGCATTTGTTATACACTGCATTCGGATGTTTCAAGTTCGTCGTTTATGGAACAGAAATTTCGTCTTTTCTCGTCGCGTTCTCGTCATTCGATTTTCCTCTTCAACGCCAGTACCTCCGTGCGTTTTCCGACGCGCTTTTACGTTCTCTCGTAGATGCTTGTAATTAAACTCTAATTGCCGGTATGCCATCGCGTCGCACTCGGCTGACGAGAGGTTCTGACGAAACGTAAAGAGAGGTATCTCGCATTGCGCCATGATGCTTCACCGCGTGTCCACGAATGAATACTCTCTAGTCGAGTGGTCGCGCAGCTGCGCTTCGCCCCGAGATCTGGAAGGGCTGTGTAAATGATGAGGGTGGAAAGTCGGCGTGGCGCTCGCGTTGCTGCGGAAGGTTAATTGTCCTTGTCGCGTTCCGGCGATTATACGACGTGTCTCGATACGACAGTTTAGTTTGAACGTGCGCGAACCAGAAACCAATTGACCTACATAATTGAGAATAGATCGTAAAAGATACATAGTGACGCGCATAGTGCGTTGTCCTGCATGGATTTTGCTACCGCGGCGAAATGCTGTAGATACTCGAGATAGAATTTGTTGCTAGAATGTAACAGACTTTACTGACTAAATTTACGTTTAAAAATATAGGTTGTCTGCCAAATTAAATTATTTGTCGCTTTTTGCTGCCGTTATATTATATCATAACATAACGGTAAAGAAACGAATAGATCGAATCTACCATATTATTTTTCGTCTGGATTTATTTCTCAACTAATTAGTTGTAATCGTATAACGAGAAGATGGTTGTCCCAAAATGAATTCTTGTTAATTCTCATAATTTTCATTACTTCGCAAATATACATATTTTTATCTAATAAAATGCCAGTATATATTTCTAATAAAATGACGCGAGGCCTCGTATAATTTATACTGCAAACCATAATATTGTATAGTACTTACAACGTGATGTACTATGTACCTGTATATCGAGATAGAGGGTAGATACAGCAGTAAACGCGACGGATTATCCAGGCCATTGCTTAGTAAATCTAGCAGATCCTGGCAAATCGCGCTCGTTTCCCGAATTCACTATGGCACTGGCCGATATTTAAACGGTACGACCGATTTAGTGCCGCGACAGTGGTATACAGTATAAACGGCGAGTCATTTAACGAGCTAGCTCGTTAATCACATACTTGTTAACCACATTGTGTTAGAGGGTCGTCGGCATCGACCTAGGAAATGCCTGCAGCTCGTACGTTCGTCCGTCACAAAAATTTCGCTAATCTGTTACCTGGAAATTATTCTGTGGTCGAGCCATTAATTATCGTTACTTTCGAGGCTTGTACGTTCTCGATCGAATGTGGAGAACATACATACGTACAGAGAGTGTTCGAGGAAGGGAAAAGCGGAAGAGACTTGCCTTCAAAATTATAGTAATTGAATTATAGTGTAATTGAAACGATTTAACAAAAATTTTATTAACTTCGAATATGTGAGGAGCAGCGTTATTTCGCGAGTTTGTTTAGCAACAGTAACTGAAATTCACTATTAATCGTATTGTTTTCTGCGAAGTTTAATGACGAATTGGTCGCACTATCGCTATCGGTATGCAATAATAACTATCTATAAACGGATTGTCTATAAAGGGTAGTGAAACAGACGATGATGAAACACAATCCGGACACACATAGAGACTCTGGAATCTACATTATCAATGCAATCATTACAGACTATATGCATTATATTGATCGATATTGTGATGTTTATTTCTATCCTCTCCATCCCTTCGTTCTCTTACCCTGGATGACTACTCTCCGATGTCGTCGTATCTGGCCTGGTATGGGGGTGTTTGCATGCTGAAATCAATTGCGTTAGAGATTACCACGTTTGATTCAATTTCGAATTCTGGCTGAGCTTAATTTATTGTCGTTTCGCCTAACGCTCGCGCTATTTGGCCACAGACTTTGCCTCTCTCATCTAGCCATCATAGTTATATGCACGCATTTATGTCTATGCACGCGTCTATGAATGCACGTGAGAACATGGCCGATTGTTTAATCGCGAAATACTGCTAATCTTCGAATATGCGGCAGACAATTGCGTACATTGCATCGGAAATGTCGATTCCGTGTTGCCGTAGGTAGAAGATAGAAATCCCAAGTCAGATTGAAAAATTACAGTCGACGATATTAATACGTTTATTAATTACTTGTCGTTAAGATACGGTAAAGTTTTCTCTTTTTCTAAAATTTTTGCAAAGATTTGAAAAGCGAATACAAATTATTTAATTTGCAAATATCGAGAGTCCACTTTTATTATAGAAACTTGAATGATGGTTATTTGACTTAATATCATTAATTTGATATCTGACTTATTATCGTTATTTAAATTGATGCCTTTGGCATACGACTGCGACGATGATTTTTCGTTCTAGTTTACGTAGGAGACGTCGATTGGTTAGGTCGTTGAGTGCTTTGAACTCGCAGTGATAATAAGTGGCTGTTATTATTCGCTGCTACGCCATTGATATTGATGGCCGATAATGGCATCGTTCCTATGTCCACTGTCTCCGTGGTTAGAATCGTGCACCATACCGTTTCCTGCTTTCTATCTTCTATCACTAGGCCCTTCACCTGCGGCGCCCGCAACTTTTAACATATCGCCCATCTGATCTTCCACCACGTTTATTTTGCCGCTATACATAAACTCCAGAATCGGCTTCAGTTCCGAATACTTGATGTGTTTAAGCATGATTGTCTGATGTTCGCGTGGCTGATTGAGGAATACAGTCCGAAAGTGGGTCGAGCACGCAGCTAACACGATCTTATGGCACTTAACCATCACATTGTTATCCAGGACGAGGGTGACATCGGCAAATGTCTCGTCGTACAGCAGTTTGTCGAAAAAACTCAGCATGTACGAACAATGATTATTTCAACGAATGCAATACCATGGAGACGAGGTAGTTATGGTGTACACGGGATGGTTAACTTGAGTCGAATTTGTGACACGAGACGCATGTTAATGTGATTGAACGACGAGATAGAAATGCTAACTTTACTACTGCTTCTAGTCATTCCATGTTTAACATGATTCATTTAGACCGTTGCCAAAATGTAGGAAGGGAAAAAGATAAGCTGCTCTTTTCTCGTCTCTTTGCGTAAACAGGCAGGACGATTTCTTATATATATAAGACACAGAAGATATAAAGATGCGATTTGTCGTATATCTTTTCTTTTTATCGTTGATATCTATATCAACAATATTAATTTAAATACAATCTTTCGTGCAGTGAAAGTCTTACAAGTGTTTTTAATATTCAAAATAAATAATTATTTTATTCTCCCAGTATTATAAATTTTAAAGAGCACAGTTCCAATGTCTCGGTCGTTTTTGTTGTGAGATAAAATGTTGCAGGCCTTAGTCACACGTGTTTGGTGAATTGTTGTCAAGATACAAATAATAAGCAGGAGATAATCTGACCGAAAGTTGCATGAAATGCTAACCAATTGTCAACATATGAATATGTAAGATCCAGATGCTTTACGATCCGTGTCCGAGCAAAAATCAGTTCTGATAAAATCGTACTCTATGTTTTTTTCTGGAAAATTTCAATCTTTAACGCAATTTATAGCACGCCGAATGAAACTGAATTACGTGATTATAGCCGGTAATCAAATATTTGATAATTGCATTTCTTACCCATATTACGCGATACGACTCTGTTAGTACTTTTCTCTCGCTTTAGGCATAATATTAATGTTCCGTTGTAAAAAAGTATAATAATATTATTATCGTTTTCATTTATAGCATTAATTTATATTTATAATTTATATTAATTTATATTTATAATATAATTTTATTATAGTTTATATTTATCTTTATCCGATACTTTAATAATAAAAGCAGTTCATTAAAATTGTTTTACACTCAATATAAAATCTTACTCTCACGTATTTATTCCATTTGCCGATTCGATAGATCCAGTCTTTTTGTCTCTTGTTTCGTTTTTCAACGAACGATGCAATATAAATTGCGGTTAAAAAATTGCGACAGGTCATACCTTACTAGTACGACAATAAAGGACGCTTTAATTAAGCATTAAATCATGGTACTTGCATTTTCTGAAAATAATGTAAGGTGCACCCGTGATATACGCGACAAGGTGTGACTGTACGTGCGCCGCTCCATTTAGCACCGATGGAAACCGGAAGTTCTTCCTGCATAGCGCTGGAATTGCGCGGGTCGAGGGTTGACGCGGAGTCCCAGCAATTAACACGAACGTTTAATTAAGCGTTCCCCTGGCTAGATGCACGTAGACGCTGTTATTCTCACATACCTGAAGCTGAGATATATCGTTACTACTAACAATTACTCCAACGCGCTGCATGGATGGAAGATTGTCTTTGAGACGTTCGAATTAATAGAGCAGCTCAACTTGTTTCTGCTATTTGTCCCTTTTCCTAATTACACGACTATAAGTCAAACTTTTTACTACCTTTCGAAATTAACAGTGATACGAAACTTTTCGATAATTTATGTACGAGCGTGTTAAAATTTAATCGATATGATATAAAATGGATGGAATGGGTTAACAGAGATTGATAGTAATATGCATAACAAAATTAAATTTCTAATTTGATTAATGTAATGGATGTAAGTTTGGCTTTATAAGAAAATATTAAAATTAATTTTTGATTGTCGAGTATTGTTTATTTATTAAAATATCGTTCAATGGACGCGTTGTTCTTATAAAGTACTTTTATAAAGTTCTTATAAAGTTAATTAATTTCTACTTAGTTTTTTAATATTGTGATCATTCATTGAAACGATGTTCTATTACATTCTACTGTTGTTCTATCAACGATCGGTAAATTCCGGTGAAAAAGTTGAAAAAGAGATAGGTTCAATATTTCTATCTTTCGATTCGCCTTTCCCACCTTCTTCGCAAACCGGGATAAATCCGCGGGTCATAAATATAGAAGTGAGAGCCGCTGTAGTGTTGTACAAAGTTACATATTGTTTCATAAGAACGGGATGAGGTTGAGAAGGCGGGTGATAAAGGGGAAAGTTGAAGCAGGAAGGTAACACGTTCTTCACGGCGTGCCGTGACTACCGAGTATCGTTCTTCCAACCTAAACAGCAATAAGCGAGCAGTAAAGAGTATTTTATGGCGACCATGGGAATGCTTCTGTCTTAGATATTTGCGAAAGGGAGAAAATAGTCGCCACAGAATAAGATTACTAGGTTTTTTTTTTTAAACAGAACAATAAATAATCTTTTATGCTTCTGTATCATGATATTGCTTAGATGTAATTTTTTGTAAGTGATTTATGAGTCTAATCCTATATTAAATTTGTAGCATAATGGATTTCGGATGTTCGGCATTTAAAATTGACTTCCCGAAATTACTGGTCGTGATTGCAATTTTGCGTGTTTTCGCAGGCCTGCGGCTTATATCGATGTATTACATCGATCGTATATAAATCGTTTAGCGTATCTGGCTGGGACAGAATCAACTTTCGGTCGTCCTCAATAATCGTTAATCGCCACTCAAACAAAGATTCGACCGCGGTGATATTCGGATCCGGAGTTAGCTTTCTCTCGGATGTGACCCTTTTATTGTTAATTGCATATTGTTTTTCCGTAAACAAAAATAAAACGAAAACGGTACTGTCGTGCTGTCCTATCAACCGTGCAATTAAAGTTAAACAACTATAACGAGCTTGGTAGGCCGAGCGTTAGGTTCATTCGCGAGTCACGAGAAATATTTCGCTTGGGCAGAAAAAGAGTAGGTAGGTAAATGCAGGTCGGAAAAAACCGAGCAAAACAGGTATCGCCACAGAGAGACCGCGAGAGTTTATAAGTTTTAATTGGGGGGAAAGGCAAATAGCATTGCAGATCCTATCCTCTCTTTTCCACGTTTACAGCCGCCCTTCAAACTCTGTCACCCCTCAGGTTCCCTCATCCCTGTTTGCCCGCCGCTGCGATAATAATAATACTTACTCATTGTTTTAGAAATTAACTCCAGGCTTCTTGCATCCGCCGCAAATGTAGCCGTAGAAGGAATGGGGCGGGGGTGGGAATCCTCTGCATTCACTTCAATTAACCGGTAATGGATTAACGGCTTATCTCCTCCTCAGTTTACCTCGACGTCACTATCGTTCTCGGAGCCGCCGGCAATGTCGGCGTTCAAGGCGGCGTACTCAAAAAACCGCGTCCGTATCTTTAAGAAATTGTACTTTTTACCGAGAATGATGTTTCAGCAATCGACTTGACAATAGGACGGAACTTTGCTCGTTTGTATCGAGATTCTCAAAGGATGACAGTAAAACAGGTACAATTAAAGTCTCCAACACAATATCGTTTTGATGATGTTAAAGAAAACGAAGGCAGAAAGTATGAAAATTATATTAAACAATATATTATAGATGAACTACATGATAATATTTTATACAAAAAAATCGTGTCGTAGGTGCAAATGGATCTTGTAAAGAACTTTCTTGCCAACGTTCGACTAAAACTAATAATAAAGAAATCTTTAAACTTTTGATATCAAAATTAAACAAAATATTTTATACGTGCAATTATATCGAAGGCAGTATAAATTAAGTATGAATTTGGAATTAAAAATGTGTATCATCTCCTCTGTGACTTCATTACAATATGCATTTATATATTTATGTCCATTCTATTCATACATTTTGTATGACACTCCATTTCGTTTGGAATTCACCCATGCAATTAGTATATCGAAGTTCGGTCGAAGATTTGGTACCGGTAGGAGAGAAATCGTGGTAGTACTTTGTTCGATTAAAGCGAGATACGCTTTGTCCTTGCAACGTTGTTCACAGGATCGATACAAATGAGCACGATTTCATTCTATTGGTAGGAAAGTCGTTTAGTCCCAGCTATCGTGTGACAAGAAGCGAATCATGAGACTGAGATAAAATCAGGTACATTGTGTTGAACATCATTTTCTATTGAAATATTATCAAAGATTTTGATAATATTTAAAATTTTTGAATTATAAGTTAAATTCATTTTATACTTAGCATATTATATAATACTGTCTCTATACCGCCAGCTATTACGCATATTTATTATCACTTGTAAGAGGCAACATTTTATTCTTTTTGCTCCTTAAATTTACTTGCACACTCGACTTATTTATCTTCATAAAAGTTCTTTAACGTCATATAATCGTTAAGAATCACGATGCGTAGAGAAGGGTTGGGTAATGAACGTGCGACAGATGCATAAGTATTATGGCGGGACTTCGAGGTTATTCCGCTCAAGTATTCCAGAAGTGTTCCGCTCGTAAAAACCAATTCTTTCGCTTTTATATCCGCGGAACACAGCCGCGCGCGCGCAGGTCGACTGTGTTTGTACGATGGCAAGAAACACGCTCGTATAGAATGAGCGGTTTCAGAAGCTAAAGCTTCTCGTAGGCCGATGGCTGCGGTTGCGCCGACAAAAACGGTAACCTCGAACTTCGGACGTGAAAGAGTTTCCTAAATTCGCGAAACGCGCGACGGCGTGTTACGCGCGATAGTACTTGTGACGGGGTACTTCGTTTGGCCTAGGTGTACAACAGCGATGAAACTCTCGTATCCATTTATTGATTTTCTACACGTGCTTCGCAATTTTCTTCTGCTCGCAGTTTTACCGGGAAACTGAAGCAATTGCGTATCATAAAGAGGACTTTTAATAATATAAAAATTTTTATGTATAAAGCTTCCAGTTTTCCTAATTTTGGCAAATTAATTAAAAATGCCTGGAAAATATTTTTCTATAACTAATTGTAATTATTGTAAATTTACGGCTTTGAATTTGAATATATTGATCCAGACTGCACTATTTGGAACAATGGTGTATTTCAATTTCATAAAAGAAATGCAGTCGAGTATAGAGTG